GGGAAACATCTTGTGCTATAGAAGAAGTACCCTGTTGAATTTGTAGCTTTAGATCAATTACTAGTGATCGTTTTGCATCTGTTGGTAGGAATCAATGCTTGGTTATACAATAGTGTAAGTCAAGATAGTGAAGGTAACAGGCCAAGTGATACACTTGGCCTGCTTTTGGGATGCATTTATGAGAGCAAAACACAAAAATTCAACATAAGCAAAGACAGAAACTGGCAGATGGATCTGTTTGGTGATCTGAATTCAGTAAAATGTTACTCTTCAGTTGTAGTTTATCTGTTCAAAACTTGTCACTTTACCAACACAAACTGTAATTGGCCCTTTACGCAAACTCTGAAGCCAATTTGGACTGTGCATAGTAACTACAACAATGCCAGTGTCTGCAAAATGTAAAAGGTATGTGTATCAGTGTACATGTATATTGAAAAGTCACGGTTTTAGATTTTTAGAATGGTGAAATAATACTAAGGTCACTTTTGAAAAACACATTTGCAGTATTTTTTGTTTACAGGAAAGTTTCACCAAGTTGCTCAGATATCTATGCAAAAATAAAGGAACCCTCCAAGGCATGAAAGACAAGTCAATTATCTGCAGTATTTTCTTTTCCATACACCACTCCTTTTTCTAATGCACATCATCCTGGTTATTCAAAGCTAAATTAAAAAGAAACAAACCCAAACATAGCCTGTCAGAATTTTTGCCAGTAAACTCTACCACTCTGGTGGCAAATATAAAAGTGCAGAACATCTGGACCACATGGCTGCCCAAACACCGCTAACAATGGTACATCTGTCCAGGCTGCCTTGAGTTCTCTGGAACAGGTTTTAAATTCGTTCTACAATATAAACGTAGGCATAACCTATTAATATAAACCATCTTAGAACTTAAATCTTCATGTACAAAAATGACTAAGAATATCTAATAATAACTAGTGCAGTGCGTCAGTGTTTTTGTTGTTGTTGTTTTTTTTTTTTTTTTTCATTTTCATTTAGAGTAACTAGGTATTATACGAAACTAGTTGCCGTACTCTGGTTGGTAAAAGAGATGCTGTGTGAGCTAACAGTAAAGGCAGCCTTTTTCACACCAACCACCTATTTACTGTTTAAAAGCCTTCAATAGAAAGCAAGCTCTGGGATCATTCCATTTCTGTTCATTAATAGACAATTAATATCACCCTCCTACATACTGGGTTCCGATTTGAGGACCTGGCCCAAGTTGCTAACGCCTGGCTTCCAGTGAATTCTGGGCCACTCAGAGCAATAAGCACTTGCTTGCAGTCTATAGTTTCCATCATATGGACTGACTAGCTTCCCTTGGTAAAGACAAGGCTAGGATATTAGGTAAAGCACAATGTTTTACAATAAAGTGGAGCTTCACTGGTCAGCGCAGGAAATAAGCACTGGAGCCTGAGACATTTCATTTGGCTGTCCGTCATGTGGGAGAGGTGTGGCCCTCTGACTTCTGCAAAAGAAGAAAAGAAAAGCCACCCATCATTATATGGAGCATGGGAGGTGCTTTTATCAGACCAGAACGGACGGAAAGCGGCATGTGATTCGGTTTAACATCTGACATCACAGCACCGTAACTCCCTGCTGCTACAGATGCCCATGTACTGCTGTTACACGCTCCTTTTAGAGGTATTCCTGCAACTGGAACACACTATCCTAAGGACAACCTGCAACACAATGCAAAGTCAGGGAGAACCAAGACATGACGGTATTCGACTACACAAAACAAAACGCACGGCTGAAGAGTAAATTAAGAGCGCACAAGTACTGTTACTCATTTTGTAAGAGAGTGGCTTCAGCCCTGAGAAGCCGAGTGGCCAGCTCGTGTGGCAAGAGAAGGTAAATGCACAGAGACATCTATCATGTTAATGCGAGTCAATAGCCAGCTTTTAAGCAGTATGGAAATATACTCATCAGCAGAGTTGCGCATTGGGATTACTCCAAGTTTCATGACTTAACACTTCATTAGCCCAGCACAACACCTCTTTCATTACTACAGCAGTGTTAATTTACAAATGATCCCCTGGCAGAGGGTATCATAAAAATAAAATGCGCCAGAATTATGTGCTGGAAATCAACATCAATCATCATAGCAGATGGACTTGGGAGAGCTCCTTTGCAGCTTGCCTTTTAAAGTATGTGCACAAAGCACGTCACTGCCTGTTATCTAATCTCACAAGTCAGGTTCTATTTTTGTTACAGTATGTGTCATTTGCAGCAATGAAAACCTGGTGCCCAATTCTTATATATGCAAGGGCCACTTTACCTCCTCTGGCACAGCTAAGACCCCATCAGAAACGGAGGCACCAACATGCTTTGCACAACTAGAGTGCAAGGCAGTGGCCTTGGCACAAAATGCAGCTCAGGTTCACAGCGCTTTACCGGGGCATGCACAAGGTAAATAAAGCTATACAGAAGGCTTCAAATGAAAAACATGCTGCCACTTCCAGATAAGCTCTAATTACAGTTAAAAAGCAGTTTGGCTTCCATGGCCCAAGGGTCTGTGAAATTTTTTAATAATTAAATTCAGACACTGAAGAAACACATCAAGCAAACCTCTAATGCTGTTGTTCTCACTTCCGGCTATTTGCAAATAAAGAAGTGAGTTGCAAAAGATAACAGTCAACAGAGTAGAAAATAGAGAAGCATCTAGCCCATCACATTTAGGTTTCTGTTTTGACTTCCATTTGCCAAGTCTGCGAGAGACATGGCTGTGTTTCTACAGGGAAGGAGTCCTCCCCTGTTGTCGTTTTGCCCCCGGCGGGGTTTACAAGCTGGAATTTGCAACAGTTGCTGGACATTTGTTGGTTTGGTGTTTTCAGGCTTCATGGAAGGTGCTGCACTTGCTCTAGCTGCATGATGAGATGACAAAAGGTGGGAGTAGGAAAGAAAGACCCAAACAGAAGGCTATGTAAAATGTTAGCTTGCTTCAACAGGGAAGAGGACAAGAACTCTTAGAGGAACAAAGACGGAAAAACCACAGCAAAGCGAATCCTGTTGCTCTTGTGCAATTCTGGTCAGTGTTAATGGAAATCAATGAAACCACAAGAGCGTGAGTGAGAGCAGAGCTTAGCACAGCACTTCCCCAAGCCTCACTTCGTGGCTTTTGACCACAGAAGATGACAGAAATGAGTTCAAACTTTTGCTGTCTTGATAGCAGACACTTTGTTTTACAATGCTGGGAGGAAAGACCAGGCTGACTGCAGTATGAAAACACCTCTCACCCAAAACAACGTTGCTTAAGCAAGACAACAGCTTCTGCAGAGAGGAGCTGGCAGGCTGGATTCAGCTGGCTTTGTTTCTTCTAGGGCCCCTGAGCTTCTTAAGAAGCCCTTCAATGTTTCATGTGCAGCCTGAACACACAGGACTGGGTCGGCTGATCGGGGCCATGAAATCAACTGTAAACTGAGGTTGTGAATGGTTTCATCAACCATTGTCTTGTGGAGTTTTTTAGGCAGACAGCAACCTGTCAAATGCCATTTGCAGAGGCTGTGACGGTTTCAAACTGGCCCAGCACTTTCTCACTGACTTTCCACTGCAGGAAAGGATGGGGTTTCATCTCCAATAAGTTGCAGCATCAAAGAACAACACTGGAGAACACAAAGAACAACTCCTCCACAGAGGACTTGCTGTCATTGGTTTCCTCCCATCACAAGTCTAGCATGCAGGATCTGACCATGCTGAACTGATCCAACAGCCCTATGTAACCTGTGCATTCTCCACCTTATCTGTGTGGATGGTCTACTCCGTAACTGAGAGGACCAACCCAAACTAACAAGGCTTTCCGTCACCTAAAGCTGTTCTGCCCTATTGTCGTTCTGCAGGTGCTTTGCCTCCTACACAGCACAGCACAAGAGTAAAAATAACAAGTGAGCTTCCTTCAGCCATGTTCAGCATAAAAACTTCAGTTGAAGTTCTCTTCACAGTCTTAGGCCACTGCAAAATGCAAATCAGCATGCAATAGCTATTTAAATCTGCTATTATCTGACAAATGGCATGTGATAATTAGAAACCCTCAATCATTAGGATCTCAAGGAGCATATGAACCTGTTTATACACAAAAATTGGTAGATAAGCTTACCAGGGAGGATCATTTTACTGACTACTGAAATAGATTGCACTGCCATTTCGGTGAAGACTTAACACTACTAAGCAACTGGTATAGAACAGACATTCATAGAATGCCAAATTAAACAGTCTGAAATACACATGCTTTCTGAACAAGCTGGCAGCCACATACTATTCACTTAGGCCACAAGGGGAAAAGAAAACCATACCTGTGAACATTTTCCATGGCTGCTACTTCTGCCAGAGCAGCTAAGCTAAAAAATGCAGACACTGCTGGCATATCTGACGTAATACTATGATTTTCTTCTGTCTCTGCATTTCTGGAGCATTCACTGTTGCAATCTGTTTCTGCACTTGATGTTTTCTGAAGAGTACTTTGTGGCAGATCTTTTGGCTTATCCTCTGCAATAAAAGAAAATTAAGCCCTTAAATTCACAACAGCCCATCAATATACAGACTAGACTGGTGTTAACAGAATCTTCACCTTTAGGACTTTGATTTTGCAAGTGTAATCCGATTCATCCTGCAACCTCTTCCGACCCAAGCTATTGGCAGAAGCACAGTACTAAGGTTTATGAAGCAGTTTCCTGATCTTGCATTCAACTAAGTTTGATCTTTTAGGTCAGGCAAGAGAGCTTTTGTGTATGTTTTAGATACAGAAGTCCTGAAAGATTCTCTCAACTGCAGAGGACTCCTGCAAGCACTGTGGCATATTACAGATTCATTTTTACATCCTCTAACTAGGTGCAGTGTAATTTCTTTGCTGGACTAGAAACAAATTATGAAAGGTAACCATTTTCCATTTCTCTCTATATCAGCTCTCAGTTCTTAAGAGACAAATATCCAGGGAGACAAGAGAGATTTGGGCATTCAAATAAAAGAAGTTTGCCATTATAGACTCACTGATTTCCCAGTTGATTGACATCTGTATTTTAAAGAACAACATTTCTAAGCAGGCATGAAAACAAGCTAACTGAAAAATACTTCCCTGATAGGTTTCTTGTGCTCCCAAACCGTCTCCAAACATTCACTTTTAATAAAAGTCAAATTCCAATTTCCTTACCCAGTGTCCCTCCTGCTGGTGACACTCGACCATCTGCTGTTCGGACCAGGTGTGTGATCTTAGTTTTCCTCGCTTTCCTTTTCTGGCTGCCAACTAAAGGCTCATGCATCGTTGCTGGCTCTGGAGTGTTTAGGGCAGATATAGAAATTTTATTCTTCCAGGCAGACTCACTGGAATTCCTGTCTTCTGAGAGTATGGCTGAAAGAGCAAAAAATGCAGTTTTACATGTAGAATAATACAGCTACTAGCTATGCTCATTTACCATTTTGCATCTATCTGCATAAAGCCTTCCCTCACAGGTACTCAGAGCATGACCCATGGCGAGATATGATCCCAATGCTGCGGATGTTTGCAGAGGAATAGTAGCATTAGCTTTTAAAGATATCCTGGAAGGTTCAAATTTCTAATAATTGCAAAGAAAACTGTGAGACAGGCAGTAGCACTTCAGTGGGAGCAGGGTAGCAAACAGTCTGCATAAAACGCTCTGCAGCAGAATACGCCAGCAAGTAGCTAAGAGACGAAATGTATTTAAGGAACAATAATGGCCTTCACGTAAGCTTATCTTCACTCACAGATGGACCCAGAAGCAGAATTCAGGAATTCCTGACTAACCCTCAGTCTTCCCACTACAGTCGCTCTACGTCGTCTTCTCTAAGCAGAGGGAAATACTGCCTTTACAAAAAAATAAACAAACCTTAAAAAACACCCAAAAGGCAACAAATACAAAAGCAGAGCTGGATCACAGTTTAAGACAGGATTGCTAAAAAAAAGGAAAGCAAGCACAGGATAAAATACCATGATGGAAATGCTGCCTACATAAAGTCAGAAGTGAGAAAGGAACAGTCTGGATCTTTCTCAACCGCACCAGTGTTGGCATATTGAAGTATCCTTCTGCCCTGAATTGGAACATGATCGCGAACTTTCACCTGACTTAACAGTCACTTTAATCTCGTTCATGAAGAAATTAGTCAGACAGCAATCACAAAATGTATTTGAGCTTCCAAAGTCTGAGATCAGTGCATAGCTGTCAATCATTTGTAATTTCCACTGACTTAGTAAACCATATAGCTGATACCCATAGGGTACCACTAGCCCCTAAATACAATCTGTGACATCTTTTTTCCTCCTGTAACAGAAGTATTACGAGGACTATCCCATCTGTGATCACCATAAGCTAGTGTTAGACTGTAAGTAGCAAAGGGAATGCCCAAGTAATTTCTTACAGATGCCTGTCTAATCTGTTTTGAAACTGGGAGCACCCATAGAGTCTGCACCAAGTCCTTGGGGTACTTTTTCCCAGTGCATGCAATCCTGAATGATTACATATCCTTTCCTAATGCCTGCACCTCATCTCCCCTGCTACCTTTTCAATTCATTATCTTCTTTACTACCCATCAGGTTATACCCCATCTCTTTATACCAGTCCTTTATTTATTTCACAGCTATTACTGTGTCTACAGTTAGCTTTCTCTTTCCCATCATTTCTTTCAATCTTTCTTCCTGTTTTAAAGATGTGTTTAAATCCCATTTATTCACTTTCTGGGTGGTAGGACCAGCAAAAATCACATGCACAGAACTCAAGCTAGAGCGCAAACCACTGCTCTTTCAGAAGGGCTAAGCACTGAACAAGACCAACCTCCTACACTGAGACTGGTTGTGTCACACAGGAGCACCCAACCCCACAAATCATGCACAATAGCCAAGCAGTCTGCATGGACCTTGCCCTTTTTCATTTTACTGTGTATTTACTATTTATTTATTATATGTTTTGTGGATTTAATGAGCTTCCTATTCAAAGATATGGCTAACATAACCTCTATCTTTTGCTAGGTTCTTTGACTGTTAACTGTGCGACAATGTGGACTGTGTGAAGTGAATAGCTGTAACGCATTTTATCTTGTTAGCTGTTGCCCTTTGCTCTTTTGTTTTAAGTGGGAAAGGACCTTTTAACGTTTTATGGTGTAAGAATATAATCAGATCTAGTACATATGTGTAAAAACATCTGGAAATGTTCCAAACGTTAATTTATGTTCTTAAATCACCTTCGTATCTTGTATTGTAAAATATTTTTGAACTTGTACACACTCTTTATTTTGAAAAAAGCACACAGCTTCAATTAGCTTTTCTCAGTGTTTAGCTACAGCTGCTAACCTTTCCATAGCAGAGCTATACTGTGAAACTTATTTTTCCTAAAAAGTGCAAGAGAAGTCACAGGAAAAGATCTGCTCTGTAGCAGTCCAGTTAAGTAGAAGCACCAATGACTGCAAATGTGACTTTCAAGTAACTCTACTGGGCTAATAGTGAGATGTTCAGATAAGCTGACTGCACTGAGACCAAAATCTCAATTGGAATATAAAATCAAATGGGCAGCTTTCTCCCTAGATTTCTTGATTTCTTATTTCGGAATTCATAAGCGTTGATTATGTATTACTGTAATGGTTTGGTTGTAGTTCAACACAATTTGTTATTTCTGATTCAGGGATTTGCTCTAATTAGATAGGACTTTGACAGTGCTGTTTAATTCTAGTTTGATTGAGTTTATAATGGCTTTAATCTTAGTAATACAAGTAAGTTTTTTTTATATTTAATAAAAATATTAAGACGTGATTTCAAACAATAAACAACATACAATGGAGAGAAGCCTGATTTGGTATGTTTTTAATTAACGTGTTGTATATTAAGGCCATGTCAGGTCTCTGGAAATTAATGTGATTGGTCAATACAGCAGACTGCTCCCTTCTACATTTGTTTTCTTTCTCATATTGTATGCATCAAAACGCTCAAGAAATTAAAGATTAAGACATTATCTTGGAAGAAAAATAAAAAGAGGCGATAGTATTAAAGACACAAAACTAAGAAAATGTGCAACAGATTAGTTGCAGGACTATACCATGTTGGTGTGTTTGACTAAGAAATATCAGAAAGTGGTTGACAAACTCAGGATGCAGCAGCATATTCCCTCTCTGTGTTTTCAAGTTTCTGAATCCTTAAAATGAGACTGGAGAGTCCTCTGTTTTGTTTCCCCCTCTAGCTCCCAAGTAAGGTCTTTATCACTTCATCATAACTCCTGCTGCCATACAGCTTTGAAGGAAGGAAGAATTAAGGGTGAACAGTGAAGGAGTATTTTTTAATGGGGGTGTTGAAGGGAAGAGTGGCTTCTTTCTTCTCTAGCAGTCTTAGTGTACATCGGGATGAGAAATCATTTCACTGACTTCTTTATGGATTATCATTCAAGCAGACACAAAACCTAACTTGGAGGAAATCATACAAAAGCTTCACTCACAAGACGCTTTGCACTGATCTCCAGAGATCAGTCCATCCAGAGAAAGAAGTCCATACTTCAACAATCGTATAGCTCGGCTAGGTTCTAATAGCAGGCGTCTTCATCCTGCACCTCCTCCAAGAGGAACTGCACCCCATTGCTTCCACTGACAAAGGTATATCCACATGGATGCTCCAAACCAGGACTTACTTTTGCTGTGCAGAAAGGAAAGGGCTAAACAAATTTAATGCCCTGTATTTGTCTTTAATAATTTACTTAGCCCATTTCATATCCCTTCTGTTTCCATACTGTCCTGTGTTCAAAAGCTGTCCCATGTAGAGCTCAGCTAATTTTCAGAAGAATTCTGTAGAAATGAAATGAGGTTCTGCAGCTACTGTGCAGTCCTGCAAACAGGTATTTACATGTTTAGCTTTCCACATGACGGTAGCACACGCAGAACTAGGGGGCTATTTCTGCAAGCAGAGTTGAGTGCATGATATGAAGTTGTGGGCCTTTTGGCATGCTTACACCAGTCACAAATGGTTTTGAGAGAAAAACATCTAGCTCTAGATTTGTTAAAAGTTAGCATGGACAGTTCACCCCACTCTGCAGGCCTGCAGAGCACATGTAGTCTTATCTCCCCCATCTACAATGCAAGAAGGAACCAAGCATAGAGCACAAGATGCACAAGTCTGACATGAGAAACTGGCTTAGCTGTAACTCAAGTCTTAAACTTGAGGGAAAAAAAACAACAAAGAGAAGAAGCGAGGATCTAAAAGACCTGACTCACTGCTCTGGTATTGCTCATTTATTTTAATTACCAGTATTCGTGTAAAGCGTAAAGCTTGTGGCTGGAGATTGGAACGTTCTTGCTAACCATGATTTTAAGGCTGCAGCGTATAGTATGCAATTAGAGCAAAGCCAGCCAAGGTGCTCTCAGGAACAGCTGTAATGTGCATTCCATAGGGTCTTTATCTATTCTGTGCTGAACAAGGATGGGGTAAGACAGAACTCCCTTTGGGAAACACCCAAATCACAGAGGCAGGTGTATATTGAAAATGCTGAATTTGCTACTGGTGTCACTCAAGACTGAACAGGTATCATCTGCTTTTGTGAACAAGAAAAATTGAAGTCAGTTGGACTGACTCAGCACACCACAGAAGAGGACAAGCATTTCAGACTGAACTTCAGCTAGACACAAGATATTTAAAACCATTTCTTCAGCAATGCCCATTACCAGAGAGAGTTGCAGGAGTTTAACCACATCTAGTGGAGAATGAATGCTCTGTAGGTCCAAGCATGCTGGTATCGAGAAGGAAAGGTGGGCTGTAATGGTTTAATGGTCTTTATTAAGTTAAAAAGAAGAAGCCTAGCAACGCAGAGCAAAGCTTCATGTAGCATGCTCTTTACCAGTGCCTGGGGAACCACATCACCAAGGAAGTGACACCAAGCAGACTGTGACCTACACCGTGGTGGAAATTCCAGCTCTTCTGACAATGGGATGCTGCTGCAATACTGCTCGTGGGGTCAAGCAGCACACAGAACTGCAGCAAAGGCTGGGCACTAACCAGCACAGTGCCACCAGCTGACAAGGCAGCGGATGGTCAAGCCAGATGTACGGAACAGCTGCCCGGATGGGAAGCTCCGCTGCATTGAGCCTATGCTGACCCAACCATCGTCCAGCCTGGATGGATGCCAAAGGCACAGTAGCACAGAGCTGCTGACTCCCTCTGGGCTGCAGGCCCCACACAACAGGGCTTTCTCAGCAGAAGGCAAAAAAAGGTCATTCCGCTAATTTGCTGCACTTTCTGTTCTTGGTCAAACACATGTGCTAAGGCTGTACAGGCTGATGTATGTGTGGGAGAGCTGGTGGGTGATCGGTAGCAGGCAGTTAGCTCTACCAGCCACAGAGGCCTGGGCTCCTTCACACACCAGCCACTGTTAAGGCTGGTGTGTATGTCCACGTGGTGCAAAGGCCAACACTGTATTTGGTTGTTACACAAACCATGCAAGAGCTCTCAGCACAGCTCACTAAAACGTACCTGCAAGGAGTCAACAGTTGTGACTTAGCCCTTGTTACTTAAAGTATTGCTTCCCCTCAGAAAGCCTTGACTGTGGAAGAAAATAAATCTCAGCTGAGTGGTGTTCAAATCCCCCAAACAGGGATGGGTCCAGCTGTGCTTCTGTCAGCCTGCCTAAGGAAGTGACATCTCTTAACATATTCATCTGCATTACTATGTGCTCCCTGCTAGGAGGAGCAGGGATTGCGGCATGTCTGGTGGTATTTTCCTGGGCTGTATCTATCTCTATGAACACCTCCAAAGTCATAATACGGTGATTTGCACTGATGATGCTGTGTACGATGTGGTCACATGCAGCCAAAATTCACTCAGATACTCAAACCAGACAACATGATCCAATCACATCAAAATTTGCCTTTACTGCACTTTTCTTCATTCAAAACACAGATGCACACAGGCACACACACTTTTCAAGATGACAAAATGTGAATCCAGCATGACCTCTGCTGACAGCAACCCTTCCAAGTGTCTCCTCTTCAGCTGTAAGAATATTCAAGCTCCTTTCTCCAGCAAAATTAACTCCATAAAAACCAAAACCACACATTATAGACTTGGACTCACCACAGATATAGACTAATCACCAAAAGGAGCTGAAATTTTCATTTAGTGTTTGATTCACTAAGTTGTTGTATACTTGAATTGAAATGAAGATGCTGGGATTCCCAGCTTGAATGCTGCAGAATACGGGACAGTGGAGTCAAAGAGTTTAGAGCCTCGCTGCCTAGGAACTCATGGAAGGATGAAGTTACGTAGGCAGCACATGATGGCGAGGCTGTACGCCGCCTGCCAAGGCCATACCCACGCTGCACTTTGCTGATAATGCTTTGCTTTCAGTGTCACTATGTGGTACACTTAAGAGTAGCCCAGACCCCACATTTTTCCCCCTTTGTAACTCAGAGGAAATGCAGTTCCCCACCTATATATCTATATATCCACTGCCTTTCCTTGATGATTTCTATGTGGGCTGGGTAAGACTGCAAAGTTCCTCGTGTCTTTGCTTCAGTCTTGGGAGGAACTTGCACGCTGGCCCTACTCCAGCAAATGCACAGACACATCTTTAATATTTAGACATGATGACATTATTCACATGCTTAACTTCCAAGGACATGCCTCTGTGTGTGCTGGAATGAGGCCAGGGTACTCAACACTTGCCAGGCTTGAATCTTTGATCATAGTGCACACTTCACTTTAAAAGAAACCAGCCTGTTTTGATATAATCAAGTGGAGGTTTTGACATTTTGTTTGGCCACATTTTATATCTGCAGAGTTTAGTATATTTATATTTTTTACTCTATCATGCAGAAATGCTTTCTGTTTCTTTTCCCACAGGAGAATTTAAACACCCATTTTTCTTACTAATTTGTCTACATGGTCTATTAATAATTCAGGGACAAAAATCGGAATGGCACCCAATGAAAGCTATGTTAATGTATGATGCCTTTTTCACACCAGCATGGAAGCGAGATAGTTACTTCTTGTAAGCGACTCCCACAATATGCTTGTTGTACAAATACAATGAAACAAAGCAAGTAATTTCAAAATATTTGTGCCGTTGAATGCAGCAGAGCCGACAGAGCCTATGTGGGAAAATAGTGCATGTACACCACTAAAGACAGAAAACATGGCATCAGGAAAGTAAAGGAAAAGACACGGCTAAACCTTAGGAAAAGATATTAAGCATAAGGGTAGCTGGGGGAACTGGAGATGGGGATAGCCATTTTATTATCTTAGAGATGGATATGGATGGGGAAAAAAATGAAAGAAATTCATGGTCTTGCTTACTTAGGTAGCTCCAGAGAGGCTCTACTACACAGGGATGATGTGGAAGGGAACTCCACTGTGGAAAGGCTAAGGAACAACCTGGGCATGATTTGGATAGTGTAGGCAACATGACTACAAAAGAAAAAAACCCCAAGGACCCAGGGAAACAGGTTAAGCTATAATCCTGTACATAGTGTACACCTGAAAATGCCCCTCAGAGTTGTAGATACGCAGGACCACAATACTGTAACAAGAAAAAGACTTTGGAGGGCTACCAGCAGGACAGCGGGCAAAGCAAGTCCAGGACACAAGTTAAAAAAAAAAAATGTCAAAGTTATCTTCAATCTGAGGCAAACAGAAAGCTGGTTAAGATTTCTACAAAGGGAGGGCTGGTTTAGGTTAGTATTTCTGAGCTCTGGCACAGAAACAAACTCTTATATCCTGACCAGCTGCAGTCTGCAAAGTTCTAGGCAGAGGGAAATCAGAGGGAGAAGAGATAGGGACATAGCTAAATGCTCTGGCAAAGGGATAGATAATATAGTCTCTGATACAGAAGGAATGGAGCAACGAAAGGACTAGAGAACTATGAGCTGTGGAAGATAAGGAGTTCAGGGCCAACTGCAGAACTGCCCTTGCTTTGTCAGCTCTGCTGCACAGCATCTGGAGCAGGGAAACTGTAATTAAGGGACATGCCAATTAAAAACAAAACAGCATCATACTGGAATAAGGCAGTATGATCAACTGGAGCCAGCAGGTAATGGAATCAAGCAGACAGGGAAATAAGGGACCAAAGCAATCAAAGACTAGAGAGCTGAGTAGCCTCTGTCTAGAAGCATTTCCATGACACTGAATTGAGAGAGAAGGCGGCTGAAAACCTTAACTAAGTAATGCACCAGTACCTTTGTCCGGAACATTAAGCTTCTCCTTTCTGTGCTTACATTTGCTGACAATTTTGTGGAATAAGTTCTTTTTCTGAGACTGGAATGAACCTACAGACAACATTAACAATACATACTTTTAATCAGCAGTTTTAAAAAGAGTACAATAGTCACAGTATGTACTATACAACCTCCCCTTCCACTAATACAGGATTTCATTTCATGGGGAAGCACAAAACCAGACCTTCTGCCCAAAATGGACTTCGGAGGCTTTCAGCAGGCTGTACTTCAACCCATCAGCTCCCAACTGTTACGGGCATACAAAGCATTTTGGAGAATGATGACCTTAGGAAAGCTTAGCCATACGACAAAACAAGGGTTTTGCTTGCATGTTTATTTAAAGATATGCTCTCTTTTGGATGCATACTGGGTTTGGCTGGAATGGAGTAAACTTTCCTGACAGCATCCTGGATGGTGCTGTATTTTAGACCAGTGACCAAAACAGTGTTGGTAATACACCAATATTTTACTTACTGCCGGGCGGTGCTTACAGGGCATCAAGAGCTCCCTCTCTCTCACTGCCACCCCAGCGAGCAAGCTGAGGGTGCGCAAGAGGTTGGGACGGGACATAGTTGGGGCAGCTGACACACACTGATCAAGAGGTATTTCATACCATGTAACGTTATGCTAGGCAATAAAACTGGGGGGAGAGTTTTTCCCAAAGTAGTACCTGCCCAGAGACTGGCTGGGCATCAATTTCTTGGTGGCGAGTGCGGGCTTTTGCATCACTTTTTTCTCCCTTGCCCCCCCTTCACTTTCTAAACTGTCTTTATCTTGACCCATGGGTATCCTTCCCACCTGCAGCTGACTTGGAACAGCATTCTACCCACCACAAATACTGGCCTCCTCCACTCCTCCTCATCCTTAAAAGGAACCAGATACATGCACTGGCTACTGAGACACAACTGCAACCATGCAGTAACACACGCTCAAGGTTAAGTCTACATCATGTATCTGCAATTTGCCATCACTGACTCTCTATATGCAGGGAAAGAAGGAGAAAAGTGTGTAGCACATGGAAGAAGGATCTAGCCTTATGAGGGAAAGACCATTTACAGACACCAGGTTGTTTGAATAATATTGAAAATTACTGAAAGAAAGCTAAAATCCAGCCAGAAACAGGCATAAAAACCCTAAGATTTTTATACATGTTGGCTCTGTGGCTCACTGCTGCTTGTTTTTTACTACTGAAGAAATCAAGACTTAGGGAAAAGATTAATAATTTCCCAAAAATCTAGGAAGTCAAACAACAAACCAAGTAACATCCAAGCAAGACACCATCTTAGGCAACATAAGTTTGAATGAGAATAGCTTCACTAGAACTTGTATAAAAAAAATTATCAGAAAGTTCAATAGAAGAGGCCATATTCACTCAAACTGATTCAAGTATTGTTCTGCAAATTTTACAATAGCTTCCTAAGTATCAGAGTTGGATAAGCAGTCTATTGTCAGTGCAATAAAAATACAAAACAAGGAATAAAAAAGCTCAGGCAGGCTGAGGGAAAGCCTAAGTGAAAAACCTGAGCTTTTCTGAAGACTAAGGTTGAACACATCAACAGAGACAAGTCTTCCCACAACAGTTCCAGAAGGTGAGAGAGGCAGAGGTACATAACTAAATGATTCTTACAACTTTTTTTTTTAATTAGCAAAGTAGTGATTTTTGCAGGTGCTTGGAATAAGCAACATGTTACATAGTATCACAAGAAGTCTCCGTTTCTACAGCTCAACCTGCACCCTATAGACCATTTCAATCAGTATCATAATTGTCAGCCAGTCAGTAACTCTAAGCAGAATAACTAACGTGAAAAACTCACAAAAGGATGACAAGCATTGCATGAAGAAGGAAACCCATGTCTTTCATCTCTTTTCTACCATCCAAGGCACCTTTGTCATAAGCTTTTATCTGCAACATGTAGGGTACTCAAAAAAAAACCACAAAAACAACCAGGGTACATGTAGGGTACACACTTGCATGTAGAATTTTGTTCCCAAATGGAAAATCCAAGGACATTGACTTCAGTGGGGTCAAAAGAGAAGCTTCCTTTTCATAAGGAAAATTCCAATTTCCTACCCTTTTTGCTGTTATTTTGTGAGACAGTGCCCACTGACATTTGAATACCCTTTGGCCATGAATGCAGCAAAAGAGAAGATGGGCTAACAGCTAAGTCAGTCACCATGTCATATTCAGACCTGAGAATGTAACTTCTGACTCCATGAGAAACTTCACCCACGCTCCCTGCCTGAACCACTAGTGAACTAGAGATACGCTTACTGCCCTTGGTGAAAAGCCAAATTACAACTGCTCAACGCTTACACATGTAAGTTGTCTAGTAATTACTGAACAGACTACCTGGTGGTTCTTCAAAAATGGCCACATCCCATCCTGCCTTTAAATTAAGGCCAAAGCCAACGAACCGCCAAATACAGGATCTTTGCATGGCACATTCAGGTATGAAAAACACAGCCTTTATTTTAATAGAATGTAACTGAACTAGACCAATATGGAGAAGGCAAAATATAGTCTGGACTGGAGAGGACATCTGCATGTAGGAAAGGCTGAACAAGGGGGCATTCTTGAGATCATGCGCTGGTTTTGGCTGGGATAGAGTTAATGCCCCTTCCTTTTCAGGCTGTCACTAGCAGGTGCCCCAGGGGCACCCTCCAGGCACGATGCCCATGCAGGAGGTTACAGGATGGCTGGCTGGGCTACGCCTGCTCTCCGGGACTGCGAACAAACGCCACTTGTCAACGTTTGATCCAGAGAAAATCCATGACTGAAAAAAATAACTAACCCAAAAGGCTTGCTGCTAGGCACTGGACTGTGGATGTGATTTCCTATAGAAAGCGGAAAAAAACTTTTAATGTTCGTTTACTTGCTATTGTTATACAGCCATCTGGGTGTAAAGGAAGTCCTTTTATCCTGCTCATCGTTCTCTATTGGAAATAACACTACATGGCTCTTCCTTTCCCTGGCACTTCAGCGGTTGCCACAGGGTTTAGCCACCTGCTAATCCCAGGCTCATCCACTGCGCTCACTGAGGGCAGCAGGGATTTCCTCCTGGGAATACTTGCTACGGCCAGCGGCAGCTGCTCAGGGAAGCAGCAGGCAAGCAAATGAACCCACCATACATAACAAATGGCATTTCCTCCACATTTCCCCCTCTGCTCTCACAAAGGTCCCTATTTTAAAGGGTCTGATCAAATAGAAAACACTTCAACATGATTGTATGTGCAGAAATGCACATACAGATTTGTCTGTGCATTTCTGCACCTCTCAGGAGGAAGATGCTGTATTTTTAGGTCGTAATCTTTGGAACATTACAGCATGTGATCTCCAGGCATCTGAACGCTTTGAACTGAGCCAAAAAAAACCCCACCAAACCCCGAGCTAAGACCGAGAGGAATGCCACAAAGAAGCATCCACTTTAAGCTGATGCTTTATTTCTAGTCCTAGAGGCCACAGACAAAAAAATTTGTAGACAATCCCTTATCCAAATAAAAGCACACTATGCATTCCTCTCCTCGCCTTACCAAAATGAAAGCTTTCGTGATGTGCTTAGTGTGTAAGTGAGCATTTCTTCACAGCACACAGCAGAAATAATGACTATGCCTGTTGCTCATTTTTGCATACAAGCGGATTAGTGACTCACTGCAGACTGCTGACTTCTGTGTGGTGGGATGTTTTGGCACATATGCCATTGGAAAGAAGAAAAAAAAAAGAAATCAGTCACAGCTCCAGCAAATGTCGGAGCAGGCCATCTGCACAGATTCAGTATAGCTGTATTTTTCAGCCATTTTGTGACATTATTTTTGTATATGCACACTCCTAGTTCAAAATGCCTGAGGTAGAATTTGCCAAAGCATTATGGCTTGTTCAATCCTGCTCCCACCGAAGAAAGATCACCATTAATTTCTGTGGAAGCAGAATTTGGACAATTTGGAAAGCTTTGAGAAAAAACCTGCCTCTTATCTAAGAAAGTCAAAATTTCCCTTATACATGTGGATTTGAAACAGCTTTCACATTACAGGCTTATTCAGGTGTTTTTATATGAAAAGAAGTGGCTGAAGTGAGGACTGGACATGACAAGCACAATGAAAGGAGTCAGTGTACACTTATCCACTGATTTTCTGCTTAGGAGTAGAAAAACATCCTGACAATCCTGGCAGTTTGAGTTTGGTAGCAGATCAGGCCTCTTGTAGTTATAGGTTAACGACATTTGACAGAAAATCAATCTGGCACAGTTTACTCCAAAATAAAACATATTAAAGCATACAGCCCTAGTTATGGGGGGGTGAAACCACCCCCAAACCAGTAACAACAAAAAAATTTCTCCATTTTTATTCACCTAACATACCAGGGAAGTTTTAATGTGCAGCACTCCAACCTGTTTTCTGAATTTAGATGTATTTTAGTAGGCACTGATCTGTACACTGCAAAAATTAAGTACTTATCTGAGGACTGAGAATGCCTGGGAGGTTTACAATCCTGCACATGCTCATTCAGAAAAAGCAGGGAATGATTTTATAGATTGTTTACTAAACCTACCCCTACTGCTTATTAGCTGCTTTTTGGAAACATCAGAAGCCCCAACCACTAGTGGGCACCGTTTCTGCTGGACATCTCATCACCTTATAGACAGAGACAATCCAAGGAAGAGCAAAGCAGCAGAAACAACTCCGCATGACACTGTAATAATGGCAGGGCACAGCAGAACAAAATTAAGGTCTCCTGCAACCCAACACAGTCACACTCATAAGACTATATTGACCCTTCGTGGTTCACGCTCATCACATTGCAAGAATGTTACTTTTGTTTAATTCTGATGGTGTAAAAAACTATGACAATTCAATAAACCCAGAACCATTCCAAACCAACCTCTATCATTTTGCACACTACGCCATTTTCTTTTCCTGCAATACTTGCAGGAGCCTCGTATTGCAGACCTGCATGCTTAACACCTTTGGAGGTCAGTGTTTTCTAACAGTCTCTGGATTTGTCACGGTTCACAGGCAAGCCAACAGCATGACGAGGCTGAATGGCCTGTCAGTACACCACAAATTAAATTGAGGATTCAGCTTAATGAATGT